TCTTCTGTTGTTACGATGTCAAGCTTGTTACAGTAGAATAATCCTTTTTTATTCTCACTACAATAACAGGACATATTGCAGTTTAAAAATTAACTTGTTTTATCAAAAATAGTACTTTAAACAACTATACTGGAACTCTTTGGAGTGACATCTCACAGTATATTACTGCGCTCTGCATTCTTAACAAAATAGTGCCAGTACAACACGCACACTACAGGTTTGAAAGAGAAGATAGATAACTGTTTGGCTACCAAGCCATGCTAGATACTTGTGAGTCGCAGATATATTTACCATTGCTTTTACTCAAATATCAACCACTGACATTGACCAATATGCACTTCCGTAATATATAGCCATATCATCTGACTGTATTTTGCGAAGTATAAGCGAGCACAGTGACCACAAAACACACAGGAAATGAGGAGTTTCCTAAGAGAGAGCTAATTCTAGATAGGACATCTTTGTTAGTTATGTGTAGTAGCTAGCTAAAAAATTGCAAGTGGTGTATTGACATACATTGCTTAGCAAGCTAACTGTTAACCAAAATAACAGAGTAAATAACGTCCAACAATATCCAATAATCCTGGGGGTCTGGGTGTAGTGTCTGTTTTGCATTTATGTTTGTGTTCATGGTTATTTCTGTACAATAGCCTACAGTGGAAGTATTAAAGGTACCCTTGCAGAAATACATACGTTCATTATTATTTAACAATAGTTATGGCTAATGTCGAAATCAGTGAGATGCAGGTCGTGTGTTTGTTATGGCTGTGGGTCTAGATATCATTGGTTTGTGTCAGTTTAAATAGAAGCGGTTTGGTGGGGATTCAGGAGGAGGAGGGGTTAATAGGGTACAGTATTTTTGGCACTTAACTTTATAAGAAATAGAGATTCTTTAACTATTTTTTTTCTTGCTCAGCCTCTGTCCCAGAAAAGGGTGTCAATGTCTAATTAAACAGTTCTCATGAAACGGATGGAGTGGAAATGACGTGCACTAAGTGAGAGGGAGAGGTGAGAGAAATACAGACAGAGAGAAAGATACAAGGCAGTGTTTCCTTTTAGGGTAGATCCTTCAAAGCTACCAGTGTTTTAAAATTTTAGAAATGCAGTGAAAACACTATACTTGTGAACACACTAAATATTATGTTCTAATCATATTTAATTTAAGGATGTGCAATTGTGAGACGGAGAGACAAAGACTGTAACAGAACTAGAACAACACTTCATGTACCTCAGCAATTGCAATGCATTTAGAGTGAGACTCAATCAACCATTTTAATGCCCAGTCAAAGTTACTAACGAGAGAAAGGACAATGGAGCCCTTAACAGGACTGTCCAGTCCAAAACCAAACACCTCGCAATGCTACTCATTTATTAATTAATTTATATCAGAAGAATTAATATGTAACTCAATGCTTTACAGATCATATTGGGCCAATAAACTTGCATATATTTCTAGGAACATGGTTAAGAATAGTAAGAATAGTTAAGTATTTAGGAGCCTAAATACTGTTTGGATTATCAAGTCTATAAAAAGCCCCAATAGAGTTGACTATCACGGTTTGAAAAAATGTTTTAGAAAGTCGATTAATTGTCTTTGCAATAGTGATAGACCAAAAAGAAATTTCTTGACTGAAACCGAAAACCAATACCATATTTGAGTAAAACCACCCCAAACTAATATTTTAGTTTGCCAAAAAACTGCATTTCTTTAAGTACCACATCTGTGATTGAAGCCTTGTGACTAGAAACAAGAAAGCTAGAGTTATTTTTGATGCTGCTCTTCCAGCACAAACCAGCTCGCCTCTGCCATACCCTACTATTTTAGTGAACTGCACAGGATTTTGGTATCTGAATTTAGTGCATCTTTAGATTTGAGAATAGAATTTCTTATGTAAATACCTGTATCTAATCCAAGCTGGCTTCAGCTAATTGATTAATCGGAAAAAGAAAAAAACATGGCCAGTAGTCTATCAATAATTAAATATTTCACATCATTAACAATATGTCTTTCAACAAAAACTATGCTCAAACATAGAACACCTACCCTGCCACAAGATGCCTACTGTACTTCCCTTCAAAGATGTTTTTTTACCCCCAGTGTGAAAGGTGAAAAAACAATAAACAAACAGTGCATGAACAAATCTTACATGGCATTCATATTTTCTGTTTTCATTGACTTATAAAAACAGATTTTGGGTGGGCAGGAGACCAGAATGTGGAGAAAGTACAGAGGTCTGTGTGCATTAGCACAGTACCCACTATACCCAGGTGTAGTTTAGCTGTGTGGTTCAGAAGAAAATGCAGCTCATCCCTTTAGCCAGCAGTGTTAATTTTGCAGCACCAAAACACAGCTCGCTTAAAAGCAGACTGCATGCTGCAGCTCTTGACTACAGTTTGTTTATTAGGTTTACTCATTATGCTGAGCTTTTGCCATTTTTCTCAGGGTGTCTCTCTACATGTTCATGCATGAGAGTGATGAGCTCAGTTTTACACAGCTTACACGAAAGTTTCTTTTTAGATGATGTTCTCATGTTGTTGCCTTTTTAGTTGCGCATAACCCTTTACTGTAGTCTCTGGCTTCTTTCTTCTTTCATTTGATGTAAATGGGAAGTGCAAATGTTATCGTGTCAGCTAATCGATAAGATTCATTGGCAGCGATTTTTTTGATTGTCGACTTTATCAATAATATCATTTAGCTATTGCAGCCCTACTTTTAATACCAGTTAACAATGCATCGCAGTCTAAAGCTCCCATTAAATTACACAGCATTTCTTTGTTTGCTTTTACTTTCTTCCCATAGCCAAGGGGCCTGAGAGTATTTTCATATGACTCCACACTGTTTTCCATCTGGATCTGGGTTTCTACAGGTAAAAATGCAAATGAGCCCAGGTCCTCTGAGGATATGTTTGCAGAACACACACATATGCACACACACATACAAAAAAAAAGCGAGTTCAAAGCCTGAGTGAGCAGGCAGAAAGTTGGACTGCTTTAGGAGTCACTGTGGAGTTTAACTGCACAAAGCTCCTAGGGAGAGGTCACTCATGAATGAGTAATTAAAATGTTGAAAATAGAAGCTACTGTGCCAGTTTACGTGGCACAGGAATTGTTTGTGCTGGCATTGTTTTAATATAGAATGTAATGAAATAGAATAGTAACTCTGCTGCAATCCAATGAGAGAAAACCCTAACCACTAGCAAAGCAAGAAGCAGAAAATGAAAACCACTGAGCAAGGAATATTTGAAACAATTACATGGATTTTCCAAAACAAAGGAGCTAAATATATACGCTAGCTGCTGCATTATCAAGAGGTGTTGGTTGGAACATTCGAAAGCTTGTCACACTTGTGACACTTCTAGGGCAGTTTGAAGGTCCCCTTTTCTCATGTTCTAAATGTTTGCTCAGCTCTCAGTACCCACACAAATCTCTTTTCTTTTTTGGAAAATTAAAGTTTACCTCTTCTCCAGTGTCTCAGAGGGCGAAATTTTTTACAGGTAGCATTTAACCTATACGGGATGATGTTGATACCTTTATATTTGATTAAGAAGTGGCCTTTGTATATTAGCACCAAGCTTGCAGTAGGGTATATTTACATTTGATGGCAGCCTAAAGACTTGAACTTAAAACCTGTGTCTGATTATTGGTGGAGACTGTTAGCCTGTTAGCTATCTGCTGAGCTATCAGCCTATTCTATTGAGGACAGATACCAGTTGCATAGACTGTAGACCAGTTAAGGGCTATTAGTTATTTTTGAACTGATAAGTAGGTCTACTATTAAGCACAACCACATTCATTTTACAGCATAAGCCATCTTGCTATATGTAATTATGTACACTGCTCTTGGTTTACACTGTTGTATTAGTTATCATTATCAGAGAATGATACTTCAATATGAATGAGGTAGCTTGAAACATTTCAGCATGAAGAAATCCCTCATTGTTGTGCACGTATGCACATGCATGCTAGCTTGAGAAACACATTTTGTGTTTTGCCGAAGATCACAAGTTATTTAAGCCATTTTATCAGATTTTACTAGTGATTTGCAAATACATTTTTTGAATGTCTCTCCTTATTCAAGCAGATATCAACCTGGTCTTGTATGACTGGATATCAGTGGCAGTCTGTGGCTGTTAGAGTTAGGCCTTCTATGTCAAAACCTGGTTAAAACTTTTGGGAAAAACCCCACCTCTGCAATAATCTTAATTTCTGCTATCATCCTTATGGGATTCTGTTTCATTCTTCACATTTTTTGGCAGTTCTAGATTAAACAGAGACATTTAAAGCTTCTAAAAGACATCCTATGTTTAATTGAAGACTTTCAGTAGAACCCAGAAATATTACAGTCACATTTTTTCTCACAAAATTATTTCCAATAGGTAGAACTAAACACATAATTGGTTGATTCCTCTGTCTCTTTGTAAATTATGCCGATAGTTAATCCAACAACTCTCAAAGTCCTAACCAATATCGCTTATCAGTAATAAATATTGCTTAGCTATATTTACATCAGTATCACAGAGAAAAACAATTCCTGATTAGCCAGTTCACGTATTTAACCCTTTTGTTTCCATCCAAAACAAAGAAACAACTAGTACTGTTATACTACTAGAGTTTGAATACAAGCATTAATCTGTTGAATAAAAGTGGACTTGTTCCCGTAAGTCATTAGGCCTTTGCTTTCATAGGAAGTTGGCCCTGTCTGCAGTTTCCATAAGCTAAACTAGGAAGTTGGCATTCAGTATTATCTGTACTGCCTAGCCCTGGTCCTCTGGACTATTACTTGACTGGTCGACCACTACTGCAGGCATACTTGCTGTTTTATGCTGATGTCCATCCCTCTTTCTTTTTCCACAGGTGGATGGAGCTCCAGATCCACCAGGGTAGTGCCTCCTGGCTCTGAGAACCACCATCCTCCGCTGCTCCTGTGCTTCTCCACACACTTCCATCTGCCAGCAAGTCCACATGTAGCAGTCTGATTGCACACCACTCCCCCACTCTCTCACCACCAGTGGAGCCTTCATGAGCTTCTCTAGCCAGTCCACACTTTCCACATTGAGGTAGGAGTGACTTCACTGCAGTCTTGATGTAGTCAGCAAGTGTTTTTAGTTTATTAATTCTTTTTAGGAATCAGGAGAACATGGTTTGATTCTACTGAACCATTCCTATTCTTTATTTTGATAGTCTGCAATGATTTACTATAAAATATGTTTAGTTTGTTTAATATAAAGAAACTTTAATATTAGAACTTGATTCTAAGCTATTGTGCAACGTTTCTGTGACACTTTGGGCTTTTACAACCAGTTGTGAGTGAAAAACATTCTTATTTTGAGTCTCATTTTAAACATGCTTCTAGCTACGAATGAGCCATACTTTATGAATGTTTGAGTAACTATGAATGTTTAAAACATTTAATAGTATATTACATTTCTGATATGCAAATTGGCTTCTCTCTAATGTCGTATGTTCTTATATTGAAGTATTATGAGATGTCTTAGCTCTGTATTCCACGAGAGGTCAGTGTAGATCCTGCATGTGACGTTTTGGTCAGAGTTTAGTTTTTGATCTGTTTAGTCCAAAGACAGAAAGACTACTAAAAGGCTACTGCACAATAGAAGAGAAGCAGCACACCTCAGTGCAGTGCCTCTAGTGTTTGGGTAGCAGGTAATACAAAGCACAGCTATAGCACATAGGAAGCCTCACATAAAAACGCTGATAAACAAGAAGCTCAAGTTCATTTAATGCTCCACTCATATAAATTTAATGGAATAAAATTTTTACCATTAGTTTGTCAATTTGTCACATTTGGCATTAGCTAAGTATCTGTCTTCACAAACCCGCTGTTTTCTGGCTAAAGATATGAGTTCAAACACAGTGTGACTAGGCTAGTAACATTAGCTGAGGTGAAAACAAATGGTTAGCATTTTTCTATTTATCTTAAAGGCTTTAGATCAACACACTTTTAAAATCATCTACTATAGATGTGTGCTCTGGGTCTGGATTTAATATAGTACAGTAATAGTAATGTTATTTGAATATTTTTTGAATAATGCACACCCCTACTTCTAGCAAGCAGTAAAAATAGAATCAAAGCTTAAAAACGTCCTTTGTGTATGTGACTGCTGCTGCTCAGCACTGAAAAAAAAAATTGGGATGAGACTCAGAATCTCTGAATTTCAAACGATACCTAACCCTAATCCTCAGAAATGTCTGAATTTGACACCATTCTGCCCCCCCCACCTGTCTTCCTCATTCCCAGCAAATACAGTCACCTAGAAATTAAGCCAGATTATAATGTAATACGGATGGAAAATTGGAAGTGCAATTCCTATGTGTAGGAAGACAGAGGTGGTGAATTGGAATCTGTATGGAATTTATTTTGTGAGAAACGAAAGACCAAAAGGTTGTTGAGGAGCCTTGGCAGTATTATTGCATATTGCATGTCTGTCTGTTGTCAATCTATTCTTATACACAGACAAAGCCGCGCCAATTTCAGAAGTACTGTTTATCCGTTTTTTTTTTAATTAAGAGACTATCAGGGGAAAGCCTACATCACTACATCAAGAAAGCTCATTTCAAAGACAGATGAGATGTGTTTAGCTAAAACCTAATTTCCTGGATTATGTCCACATTCAAATTCTGAATGCCAGCCTATTTAAATTGTAATTGTAAATAAGTCTTATGAATGTGGTTTACATTCACAAATGAGTCACATTTGGTTTTACTCAGAGTGTGATATTGTTTCTGGTGCCTAAGATGGTGTTATTATTATTCAGGCTTCTCTATGAGCAGCATGCTATAAAACAAGTATGTAAATATTGACCTGGACTTATATATTCTGACTCTGAGTGGTTTTCATCTAAAAATTTGCATATTTCAGAAGAGTTTTTATAAGGAAAGTGTGAAATAATGACTATTATATTTCTTTTTTTGTCATTACTCTTCATCATAAAGCAGTACCATTGGCACAGTCATTAGTCATAGTTAATGATAGACATTGTATTTTTGCTTTTAGATCTTAAGGCATCTACTTCACAGAATGTGCTCAAGTCATAACACAAGTCATTGGGTTTGGTTCAATCATTTGACTGAAACTCATACATTATGCCTGCATATGACTAGGAAGTGTGCTAGCCATAGTCTCATTTAATTCTCTATTAGACTCAATAAAATCAGCAAGCTGTTTGTGTTACTTACAGATTTCATGGGCACACTCCACACCACATAGTCAATTTCTGGTTTTACTGTATAATCCCATATTCACTTTAGCTTCAGACTGGGATGGCTCCCTACTGCTAGTGTGATGGATAGTATGTAACTGCTAATGGGAAGGGAGCTTCTCTTTGTGATCATTTGTAAGTGGTTCTGTTGTAGAAATACAGTGAAAACTGAGTTTTTCAGCCTCAGTGAGGCTAGGCTACTTTGGGAAAACTGGTCCAGACAAGGCAAGGTAACAAAGATGGTTAAATCCTGGGGTCAGAAGAATTCCCAGAGCCAAGAACTGTATGGTGTTGTTTAATGTGAGGTGAAGCGTCTTTTAAGAACCATATGTTATAAAGTTAATGTTTTAGTTTGTGGGTAATAGGCCGGAGTTTCAGTGCTCTAGATGTACAACATGTCATTTTACTTTACACCAAATATCCAGTACCTGTAGCTTTCGTGTCAGTGATGCGTATGATGTAAGATTGGCTTTTTTTTTCTTCAGACATCCGTCCATCCTTCTATACATCCATCCATCCATCCACTTTGTTATTCCCCTTTTACCCTAGTCAGGACAACCAAAGAGCAGGTATTGGGTGCTGGATCATTCTCAGCACTGCAGTGACACTCACATGGTGCTGGTCTGAGTGCATCAGACACAGCAGTGCTGCTGGATTTTTTCAGAAGCCTCAGCGTCACTGCTGGACTGACAGTAGTCCACCAACCAAAAATATCCAGCCAACAGCATCCCGTGACCACTGATGAAGGACTAGAGGACGTCTAACACAAGCTGCAGCAACAATTGATAAGTTGTCAAGAGGTTTGAGCCTAATGACACTGTGCTTCTTTTGGCACAGATCCTGTGTTATTTTAGCATCCTCTTAGAAAAGAGGGCATAACTGTGACATTCAAGCCTAGATGTGTATATATCTAGCAAAGCACTCTTAACTAATAAAAACCCCTCCGTAGTCAAGAGGAAAAAAAGAACAGATTTCAGCCTAGCCCCATATCTCCAGTGTAGGGGGAAGTAGAGGCTGGATGAGTTCTCTTGCCTGTCTCACTTTTCTGTCAGATAAAAGCTGGCCAGCACTCAAGGGTCTTATCAGGACATGGGCAGCTGAGACAAATAACAATGGGGTTGGTGAGGTCGCCCATGCTAACCAGCCGTATTGTGTCAGGCTGCTGTTGGCCCAACTGCTCCACCTGAGCAGCTGAGCGCTTCACACACATGACTGAGTTGGAGCAGAGAGGGTTGTATGGCAGTCGTGTGGGTGGCAGCTGGTGAAGCAGGGTGGTCCACCATTTAAGTGGCATTTTGACCATACTGCTGGGAAATGAGGCTAACGTTACACAGGCACCAGTGGGACAAGTTGTGTCAGACTCAAGTAGCTTGGACACCGACACTCAGTCATTCTGTAGCCAAGTTTATTTTCTTCTGGGCGCCCATGTGGCATTGCTCTAATTAGGGCGAGCATCAGTGAAACACCAAGATGTTGTTTTCTCAAGGATCTGGAAACTTCATTAACTTTTTATGTATTCCTTATGCTTAAGCTCACTATGTCACACACCAGGCATGGTTGGTTAAACCCTGGAGAAAATTTATGGTGAGTACAGCAAAGTTTATTGACTAGGTTTCAAATGCATTTTAAGCTGGAGACTCATAGACACGTCAGAAAATGGGTTAGACACAATTGTTCCATTGAAATAAACTGACCAGAAGTAGTGCATTATTACAGAGCTCACTGTAATTACACCTGTGAGTATGCGTTAGGTCAGTGGCAATAAAGCAGATGTCACAGCCTGACACTAATGACAACAGCCCGTTGTGAAAGCCACTCTGAATTACAGTGATCAAGTCATTAAGAGAAAATTGATGAAAGACACATCATAATTTTCTTTGCATCATTGTGCTGCCAAGACAACCATTTGTATGCTGGAGAAAAGAACATGTTGCATCAACAGATGTCCATAGGTTAGTGGAAGAGTATAATAGTATGGTGTAATTTTGCTCATTATGTACTGCAAGAATGTTGTATGCATTTTTCATAGTTTATGTGTGTAAGGCATGCAAAAGAGAATTGTTGTAAAGCACCCAGGAGACATATATGAATATATATGATACATGTTTCTAAACCTTTGACTGGTAGTGTACATCTACTACTTGACACTTCAGAAAAACTCCCAGTTGTAAAGAAAACAAAAGTCAATATCCCCAGACAAGTTTTGGCTTTTGTTTTGCTCATCTAAATTGAGAAAATTTAAAAGCAGAATCTTTCCTGAGGAGCTCCAAGTTCCTCACAAAATGACAGCTGTTCAAGAAAAGCCCTTTTAGTTAGACACACACAAAAAAGAGATGACACTCGCTAATTGTTGGCATTCCATAGAGCAACAACGTGAAGCAACTCATCTGTTCAAGAAGATCTCGCCAAATGTTGAGGAGAACTTCAAAGACTCAGTCGACATCACACAACATACTCCGACCAAAATGAAGCATGCACTCAACACATCACTCTGAAATTTATCTCTTGAAGCAAAAAACACAGTGAAGAAAGACAAGTCGTTTGTAATTTTGACACAAAATAAACTAAACTTCACCAGTAGGCTATTGTTTAGAGTTCTGTTGTGCAAACATTAATGTGAAATAAGAATAAATGAAGAAATATATATATATCACTAGATGGGCCATGAATGAGTTTGATTCCAGAATCACCTGAGTTGCAAAGAATCAGTTTCTGACATGGTTAAGATTGTGACTGCAGCAGTCATTATGATGTGCTTGAGTGTTTACCTGCTTCACAGAAATGTCAACTACAGGTGCATTTAATGACAGTTTCTTCTAAAATATCAGCAAGGCATAAAA